GGGGAATTTGATTGTCAATTATACCCACATTTGAATTAAAAAGAAATTCAATTAGATGGTTGTGACATAAGTTGTACATAATTTTAAAATTACTATTTACCAGTTAACCCACCCCATTTAATTATTTCTTTTCTTTTCTTCGTTCTTCTTGTTCCTCTTTCACAACTTTGCACCCCAAAATTTCTCTACCATTAAAGGTCGTTCGAAGCTTCATTATTTATTCTTCAATTCTCCTTCCAGATTCAAAGTTGATAACCACTATTTAGATGAGAAGAAAAATAGGATATAAGAGAATTATGGAATGCATTATTCTGTAATTTAAATTTAAAAAAACGTATTTTTCATTATAAAATTTAACCATCTGTATGGCTTATGAATAAAGAAATCCTGTAAGCAACTCTACCATTCTTTTTCTTTGTGCAAATAAAATGAGTCCACCGTTGTTAAAAGGATAGAAGAGCTCAAGAATTTCATTGCAGAAGATGAACAATACATATATACATTTACATATGATATATGCAACTAAATGATAACTACAAAGAAAAACGACGCGGATAATCAATTTTCACTTCTTCTGGAAACTTATCATGCCGATGAAAGCAATGATACGACTACCTAAACCTATGAGGAGGAGAACGCACAAAGAAAGACTCCAATCATGGAGACTGTATCCCCAATTCATAAGTGCACCACAACGTGTTATGAGCCACACACCATAATACCTGAAATCACATAGCATAATGATCAATTAAATGCAACTTCGAATTTAAAATTATGTACAAGGTATTTTGCAAATTTAAGATTGCTGTACACGCGGACATTACGTCAATCATCCCTATAGGATTCCTGCTGTAAAATAGTGTATTTTCAATTTGATATGTTGTTTGTGGAAAATCATTCAAGAAGGGCTTTACGAGTAAAGTAAATGTTGTCAAAGATCCAAAAGTCTTTTACATCTGTATTTTCTACATCTTGCGTTCTGATCTAGCTCTCTGCTTTCAATTTTTGCAATCAAAGCAAAGTAATTTAAGGAACTGAAAATTTGCCGAGTTCATCTAGAATGAACCATCACAGGAAGATTAAACTAAGATGAAATTTAAAAAAAAAAAAAAAAACATTTATTTTTACCGCAGGCACATGCGAGCAAGTGAGAAGATATGCGAGTATGAAGCCTTAATCTCTATATTTGAACTAGGTTTCCGTAGGAATTAGTAATTTTTTGGACAATTTCTCGATTTGTGCATGTCATCCTTGCGCAGGGCAATGCTAATCCTCTCCGTATTTTTCCAGTTTCATTGAATTTCCCCAAATGAACATTCATGATAATAAATGATGCCACAATTTCAAGAGTCAATCATAGTTACGAACAAAAACTGTGGAAAAATACATGTGCAAAAGAATAAGAGAGTTCTGCCCAAATAAATACGACGGGAAAAGAGAATACCCTAAGAATTCAGTGAGTGAATGACGAGAAAATTCCACAAACAGTTAAAACGAGAATGCCGTTAAACTTAACTTCTCAAGGCCACTGGACCCAAGCAAAATACTACAGATGCAAAGCACATGGTCTAGTCAAAGAGATGACTTTCTGTTCTCGATGTTGTCATCTTTTACCAAATATCTAGTCTAGGAAATAACTTAGGCTCTTAGGTTGTCACCTACTGAGAAAGAGTCCGCTGTTTTACTTAATGTTCTGTCTAACAGCGGTAGATCTCTTTTTTCTCTTAGATAGGTAGAGTCGAAGAACGACTCTACTTCTTGATGTGAACAATAAGAAGAGTACGTAAGAGGGTTTAGCGGCACGTGATATTTGAACATAGTATGAAGTCAAGCTATTAAGCCCGCTGAACTACATGCATATATGCCCTTAAAGTTACGAAGAGAGCAAAATTGATGTGCATGCATATGCCCTTGAATTTACAAAGAGAGCAAAACTTATGTGTAATGATCATTTTTAGAATCTTTATACATATCTACAATACTAATCGTATGCCATCCTCAGCTATCCAGAATCGAGTTCCATTATATGTCTTGTTTTCCCACTTATCATTGTTCTCTCTTCTACCTCGTGTCTTTGGAAGCACGTGTTTTGTTCACAATTTGACTCCGGAAAAAGATAAGATAGCTCATCGTGCTACTTGAGGAAGCAGAAGGGACACTGATGCTATTCACCGGACCTTCAACGATACCTTATGTCCGCTAATATTGCCTTCTTCGAGACCCAGTCATACTTCACAGGTTCGGGTGAACACTTAGACATTTCTTAGGTATTACCAGTTACATATTTTAAAGATTTAGTCACTATCTCTCATTCACCTTACTCCACTGCTTCGATTTCATCACCTACAGCTCCAGGTCCACCCCTAACAACTCCAGATCCATAATCTACAGCTCCACCACTCTTGACTTAACATCGCTATCAGTTTCTAGCTTCATGTCCAAATGATTCATGTCTTCTATCGGATCCTTCACCTACTGCAGACTTGTCTCCTCCTAGTCCACCAATCGCACCCCGAAAAGATATTTGATCCACTCTTAATTCGAATCCCCATTATATTGGTTTGAGTTATCATCGTTTATCATCACCCTGTCATGCCTTTGTGATATCTTTGTCCTCTATTCCTATCCCTAAGTCCACATGTGAAGCACTATCTCATCCTCGATGGTGATAGGCTATGATCGAAAAGATGTCTGCTTTACATGATAGTGGTACTTGGGAGCTTGTTTCTCTACCTCCGGGTAAATCTACAGTTCATTGTTGGTGGGTGTATGCGATCAGAATTGGTCTAGATGGTAAAATTGATCTACTTAAAGCTTGTCTTTTTTGCCAAATTTTATCTCAAAATTTGGGCTTGATTACGATGATACTTTCTCCCTGTAGCTAAAATAGCATATGCCCGTCTTTTTTTTCGATCACTGTTCTTAGCCATTAGCCTCTTTTTCAATTGAACATTAAAAATGCTTTTCTCCATAATGATCTCGAGGATGAAGTATATACAGAACAACCACCAAATTTTATTGCTCGGGGTCTAATGGTCTTGTATGCCGGTTGTGTCGGTCCTTATATGATTTAAAACAGTCTCCTCGCGCGAGATTTGGTAAGTTCAGCACGATTATTCAGGAATTTGGTATGACTCGCAGTGAGGTTGATTATTTTGTATTCTATTGACATACTGCTCATAATTTGTGCATTTATATGGTCATTTATGTTGATGATTTAGTCATCTAAGGCAATGATGAAAATGGTATAATTAAATTGAAGCAACAGCTCTTTCAGTATTTCCAAATAAAGGACCTAGAATGATTGAAGTATTTCCTAGGCATTGAGGTTGCGCAGTCCAAATTAGGAATTGTCATCTCACAGTATAAGTATGCCCTAGACATTCTTAAGGAGATAGATATGACAAGTTGTAGACCGTTGACACTCCTATGGACCCGAATGTTAAACTTCTACTATGACAGAAGGAGCCTCTTAGTGATCCTGGAAGGTATAGGTGGCTAGTTGGTAAGTTGAACTATCTCACCGTACCTCGAACTAACTTTTGCCTTTCCTGTCAGTGTGATAAGTCAGTTTATAGACTCTCTGTGTGATAGTCACTGGGATGCAGTTGTTCGTATTCTGTGATACATAAAATCGGCCCCAGACAAAGGGTTGCAGCATTTTGAAAATCGAGGTCATGAGCAGATTGTTGGATACATAGACGCTGATTGAGCTGGCTCGCCTTCTAAAAAAAACCTACATCTGTATATTGTGTTCCGTAGGAAGTGATTTGGCATCTTGGAAAAGCAAGAAACAAAATGTGGTTACTCGATCTAGTGTAGAAGCTGAATACAACCTATAACTTATTTGGATTAGACAGTTGCTCAAAGAATTGAAGTTTGGAGAAACTAATGACATGAAACTTGTGTGCGATAACCAAGTTGCCCTTCATATTGCATCAAATTCCATGTTTTATGGAAAAGATAGATTACCCCTTTAGGGAAAAGATACTCTCAGGAGATATTGTTACAAATTTGTGAAGCCAAATAATCAACTTGTGAATATTTTTACCCAGTCCCTCACTGGTTCTCATATAACTACATTTGTATGCACTAGCTTGGTACATATGATTTGTATGCACTAGCTTGAGGAGGAGTATTAGAATCTTTGTAAATATTCTAGAATATTAGAATTATAGTATAGGATTAATTAGTGATCAATTAGTTCCTGTGATTATGTACTCTTGATTTTCTTTCCTATCTTAGAACATGTAACCATAACTATTTAAACCCTATTAGCTTGAGGGAACAATCGAGTTCTCTCAAACTTCCTTCTTTCTCACAATCAGGAATTCCAGCGCACAATATGGTTTTGCAGGTTGCCCATTTTGCAGGTTGCCCCTCATATCCATCATCAACAGTATTACCAATTATATATACTCATCTAATTCGAGCATTTGAATGGTCTTTGCCCAGGAAAGGAGCCAAGATTTGCACAGCTAGAACCATTAAAGTAACAAGTGCTGAACCTTATATTGCTCGATCACTACAGGGAACTGTCAATAACATACCTTTTGGCATTTGAGATGACAAATGCCTCCAGTGCCCACTTTGGATAGCATAAATCTGCCAAGACCTTGAGGAATTTACCACCATCGGTGCGAGATGCAATGAGCGTCAACACCACAGGAACAAGTACCGAACACTATGTAGAAGTGAAATTTGTTAGTACGGGATATGAAAAGAAACAAAAACTGTAGCAATATAACATGTTTCAGCGGGAATTCATGCTCACCAGCTGGGAGGGACCAGGTGCTAGGAAGATGGCAAATGCGTAACCCATTCCAGTCACACAATACACAAGGCAGAGTAACACAACGTAATTAGCTGCGAAAGAAGATCTTGGATTGCAGAAGAAGTAGTACATTGATAGATATACAGCAGGCTTAATCACTGTGTTGAAATGATCTATTGTATCTTTGGCAACAAAATGAGCAACGCTACTAATGCCAGAAGCACTTTCTCTCCAATACTGCAACTTGTCCAATGCAAATGTCCTTAAAGCCGCAATTTTGCATAACAAAGCTGAAAAAGAATTATCAGAAATACAAACTGAATCAGAAATTCAGGAGAAGAAGTTGTACTCTGAACTAGTATGGACTTTTACTCCCTTGGAAATGATTATCAACTTACAGACAGCAATTATTGTGTGTGTATAGCCAGGTGCGCCAAAGCTTTCATCCCTCACTTTGGTTAGTGATCCTAAGCAAGCTCCAGCAACTAAGAGAATGAGATAATCTATTGCTTGCATTTTTGCTTCACGTAATCTTTGCTTGCTTATCCTGGGATAATTTGAAACACAAAAAAATGTGAGAACTCAACTGCAGTGTAAAAACAGTGATTTAGAAGCTTATTCAATTAAATTTGCCCATGCATCCAGCAGTGTCGTGTAAGTAAATGCATCCTAAAAAGAACAGCATTTTCCAACAGTTAAGTCATACCAAATTTGCTCTCATGGTACAGCCCAATCGTGGCCTGATTTTCTACTATAATTTAACAGGAAAAGTTAACGTACTCAAGATCTGACTTGCCCAAATCTCCAAATGTGATATCAACCTCAGTCAACTATGCTAATACTTCTAATTGCTACTACACGCAGGTAATGATTTACTCTGACAAGTGAATATCCAGGGGAAGTTCCTCGATATAACATGGTTCTAGATACATCATAAGAAGGAAAACAAACAACATAATACCCTCTTTAAATACTCCTTAAATGTGATGGGAAGAAGTAATTTAACAGGGAATGATCAACTTTCCTGCAGCTTGATCTGAGCTGGCATTATTTTATTTTTTATTTTTTTTAATTACCAATGGCATTATGTATTATAGAATAGGGCTTCAAATCAGAACTTAACACAAGGGCTTAAATAAGTAGACAAATGACAAGACGAGGGGATGCACGTTTTTCTTTATTTTGCACGTATTTCTTTATTTTATTTCTTTACCCTTACTTTTAGTTGCCAGAAAGAATGGTGGCAGAATTAAGAGATGATTTATTTCATAATTTTCAGAAATGGATTCCTTGCCAATGGCTAGAAAATTTTGATTGAGTCGACAACATATACTCCTAGGAACAATGGAATTCCCTTTGAATGATATCAATCAGAACTCCGGAATTTCATAGTGGCTCTTATCAAAATTGACCGGCCTTCTTCTTATTGGATGAAATAAATCTTGATCTCTGAAAGCGTTCTTAGCTCTTCTTTTTGGGCTTAATTTTTTCCACGAGCGGGGGATATGCACATGTGTCCCAAAGTGAAAGAGTATATTCAAAAACCATTATATTTTCTTTGTTTGTATCAAGATGACCTCGGTTGAGAAACTGATGCACAAGACATTAGACCACTGTAGGAGATTCAAAATATTGCTCATTGGTGCAGGCAGCTTTGACAACACTTCTCCTCTTCAATGGCTTCAGATTCTACAATGAGATATTTCTCCCAGTGGACAAATTGCTTGCCTGGCAATATTGATGTAACTCAACCAAAAGTAGATACTGGTTGCAATATCAGCAAACAGATTATAATATCAATTTCGAGCAATTCCGAGAATTTAGTAGGTAACAGAAACATGGGGATAACATAGCTCAACTTGTGGGCAATGTCAAAGTTCGTGATAGCGAGCTGGGTAATGGGTGTAGAGATTATTTAGGACCCAATTCCCAGACTGATGGTTCGATATCGATACATAAATTTTGTTTGAACTTACCCTGTTGTAAGCTTTTCTCTCTATTGTTAATTCATAATAAAAACACATAAAGAACTATCCGATGAAAAGAAATTGGTTTTGTGAATATTTACCTTCCAATGAAGTACTTGTATTGCAGAAGAACATTTGGAGTTCTCCGGTTGGAGAGGTCCTTTGACCTCATAAAGTTGTGCAGTATAATATCACGTTGGCGCTCCACGTTAGTCTTCATGTCTTGCCACATTTCCCCAGCAAAGGAATGTTCCTCTGTTACATGATCAAAAATTGCTTGATTGCCATTGTTTACATCCACTGGTGAAGATGCAAGTACAGCAGCACTCTGTTGCATTTCTGGGGGCACAGAATAACCATTGTGAAGCATCCACAACACGGGAAGCTCTTTATAGTCCACATTTGAATTGGTGGTTGGTTTGACCAGCCCTTCCAAAACATCTATGAAGTGGTCTGGAGGATTAACTCGTTCGGGTACATCGATACCAAGGCCTGCAAAGTAGTCCTCAACTTTCTTTACAGGACCATGGTAGACTACAAGACCACCTTTTGCTAAGAGTATCAAATCATCAAACATCTTGAACAAGGTGTAGCTGGAAGAAAAAAGTTGCAAAAAGGTGATTAAGAGAAGGAAATAATTAACAGCCTAAAAAGGTCCACTTCACTTTATTTACAGTTTCACAAAACATTGTTTTTAGTGGACTTCTGGGTTGATTTCCAATGACGATGAAGGCTAAGTGGCTTCAGTGACAAGACAATGGGAAGCATAATTTATCAATCAGAAGGAAACTTCCACTAGCTAGAAGAAGATTTCTTCTGTTTAAAAAATTATTCACTTAACTTATAAGCTGTCTGACATTAACAACTAAAGACTGAAAGCTTTTGCATTTTTGTGTTACAAGACTAAATACCTATAAATGGAAAGGATGAATGTACATGTAGTATCAGAATCCAAGTCAACAAATTCCGGTGGTTACCTTGGCTGGTGGACAACCATGCAGATATTGACTCCTTCAAGGGCTTCACGTCGAAGTGCTCTGATAAGTAATTGAGAAGATGCACTGTCCAGTCCAGATGTCGGTTCATCTAGAAATAGAAGTGATGGTTCCATTACCAACTCTAGCCCAACATTAACTCGTTTCCGTTGGCCTCCAGAGATACCTCGCTTCTCCACTGTTCCAACCAAGGAACCCCGCACGCTCTGTAAGCCCAAGAAATCAATGACTCTCTCAACAATAAGAACCTTATCTGGCTTTGGCAAATCTGCTGACAATCTTAAAATTTACAAAAAGTTAAAAATTTATTCTTTTAAACTACCAGCTACAGGGATCAGATGAACTTGAGATACAAGAAGATACAAGCCAGCAGTAGTCAATAGAATAATGTGTTTGCTGCTTGTTATGTGATTTAGAAGTGACTGAAAATTTTGAAAGTACCCTGTGCTGAACATTATAACCCGAGTAGGAAGGACATAGTAAGTAACGAAACCAACTATTACATACCTGCACCTTGCACTGAACCATAGATTCTCCTCGACAGTCAAGTTTCCATGCACAATATCATCCTGTGGCACAAAACCAACGATTTTTCTGTACGAATGAATTGGTTCTGGTTTTCCATTTATGAGGATGGAACCAGAAATTGTACATCCAACAGTTTTTCCTGCCAGAGCTGAAAGGAGAGTAGTTTTCCCTGCTCCTGATGGACCCATGACAGCAGTAATACGACCGGGCATGATTTTTCCATTAACAGATCGTAACAGATGCTTCTTTTTACCTTTCAAGGTAACAGTTAAACCTGTAAACCCTATCTCAATTACAGGTCTTTTCTTGTAATCATTATTTGTGGCCATAGAGATTACACCAGAGAAAGTAAGGTTTTTGTTCTGCTGTTGCTGCGCTTTTTCTCTCTCAAGTTGTGCATATGCATACTTGAAAATTTGGCTATGAGTTTGAATTTCTTTTCCTTTAGGCTTTTTGGTTTTCAAATTTTTTTCTTTAATTTCCAAACTGAAAGATTCTGAACTATCAAAAGTATGATCTTCAATTTCATTTATCACCTCCATCAAGGGAATGGATCCTAATTCTTCTACTTCAGACGTGCTTAGCGAATTCTTGGACACTGAAGAGGTACTGTGCTCCTTTGATGAATATGAATTACCATCGATATCAGTATCTTCCTGATTCATTATCATGACCTTGTCACTGATTGTGACATTTCTCTTGCGAGAAAATTTGCGAGACAATTGACCTTGCAATTCAACAGCATGCTTTTTAGCAGCCTCTTTTGCGGCTTTCCACCTTGCACGTGCCTGTATCTTTTGTTTTACAACTTTTGCAGCTGCTTCCCGGGATCTAGCAAGTCTCCTTTCTCGTATGGTGATGATCTGGTCCGAACAGTTGTAAATTATAAGGAGAAGTGTAGCTAAAGCTGCCTGCAGGAATGAGCAAGATTTTTATCTCCTACGGTGGTATAACTTCTTAAACATCAAACATGAATAAATTCAAATACTAAAGAGAGAATTTTTACGGGATCAATTTCAACTTTAGCTCTGGGAAGGTAGTACAATAATATCAAATTTGTTATCACCAGAAGGGTGCTGCAACTTCTTATGGACAACAGAATAGTAAACTTTAATTGAAACCAGAGTTATTTTGTTGCATTACTGAATCGAGTTCTCACCTCATATAAACCTAGAAACAGCTGGAAACTATGAAGGGATATCAGTCAGGGCAATTACTAGATAATAATCAAAACTTACAATGAGCATTGCCCCATATGCATGAATATTCTGACTTGCAGTGTTCGGATTACATGAAGTCAACTTGAAGCATCCTGCAAATTCATCAAGAGGTGAATGCTTAATGAAGCAGCACCACTGGAGAAAGAATCTAAATTCATGCTATAGCAATATGCTTAATGGAAATATAATTCGTTATTTATTTTGCACTAGAAGATTTCTATTTTAGCAATGTATTGCAAATAGTAGGCACTTTCAAACTGGAACTTACGTTTCTCAGCCGTAGAACCTGTGGGGCAGTAATTCCTGAAATTACAGGGTAAAGAATAAGCCTTGGAAAGACACAAGAGGAGCAAAATTGATGAAATATCGTAAAAGAAGTGTGTTGTGCATGTAGAACTAACTGGTAAGGATTTTTCTAAAGAATTTCTGTAATCAGATATCAGCCTGATATCAAAATTTTACAACTAGAAGACAACCAGACTGTTATCAAGAGTCGGGACAGAAACTACTACCCACTAGTACAAGGATTCTTCTCTGTATTTGTTGGACAATATGATCCTGCAGAACAGAATACCTCTGAGCTGCTGCGAACATCAGACCAAATGTTTGCCCCACCACAAGTATGATTTGGCTGCCCAGGAGGTAATTGATAACTATATCTACAGACATACCAATAGACATGTTATACAAACAACAAACGGGCAGAAGGAAGTAAATGATCAGAGCGATCTTGTATCAGGAATCTGGACTCACGGTTCGCATATTCCAGTATTCACATTGAGCGTGGCAAGTGGACAGTAGGAACCTAAAGGGCAGGCTGGAAAAATGAAGAAAATTATCAGAAATCCTTTCTTTTGTAAAAACTCAGTCAATAAGGTACTTATCAGAAAATAATTACAGCAACTAAGATTTAAGAAGTCTTCAACATGTAACCAAAATAAGTGAAAAACAGTGTTATACTTAAACATTCCATGTAAAGTATATACATACAGACATACATATATATATATACACACACACACACACATGTACGTAAACACATTGTTGTAAAACATCAAATTAGTGGTCTTGGCACTAAAATAGATACATATGCGGAGTCAACAACAATCAATTATCATTTTCCAAATAAAACAACAACAAGAAGCCTCCTTGTTCAACTGTAATTGCAGTATGCTAGTTATCTCTTATATCATTTTTACCATAATGCTCCTGCAGTCATGCTTACGTACGGGACTTTACTGTCCACTCATCGGTATTAGAAAATAGAACTAAATTACTATCTTGATAGTTGATACTAGAGCGTAAAACAAGAACAAGTCGTTGAAGGAACAGAAGAATAAACTGCAATCTAGTTCTGTCCAAACAAATGGTTGAGGAAGAGATATTGACAAGATTGACGATATACTTACGTATCATACAAGTAAGACCGTGAGGACAGAAGAAACCCTCACAGCAAGGCTGACAAGTAACAGTTCTTGCTGGTATTTCTCGAGAATCTCTTAGGTCAGGATTCTGATCTGGGTCGGTGCTACATGCCCATCCTGGTTCACAACCTGGAACCCAAGAGGTCAAATTGCAGTTTCTGTTGGCCTTCAAATAATTAGACCCTGATGTTATGGTGTTACTGAAGTAAAAACTGATTTCTGCAGCAGTACACAGTCTTCGTTGAATATCCCCTGTTCCAATAAATATAATTTTCATATCATCTTCGAACTGTAGTGTAGCCTGAAGAGAATGATTAATGGCACGAAATTCTAAGCAATAGGAAAGAAGAAGTCAAATCCAGTCTGTTCCAGCATCATTTTCACTTCCATATAACAAACAGCCACAAGAGGATGAGAAAAAGTACTCATTTCCAACTAATGCAAGTAACATAGGCTAGAAGATAGTCGGTTTTTCTTTTCAAGTTAAGTGTAAATAATGCTGGAGAAACAGGAAGATGGTGGGAAGGAAAAGGTAAAATTCCAAACTAGCAAAGGTGCATTCCTTTTCTTCAACCGTCTATTCCTGATCTGAGATCTTTAGTAGACTTCAGCTCCTTCTCATTCTGAGTCCTCTCACCAGGAATTTTAAACGCTTTGGCAAAGACAAGCGATAGTCCAATCAGTTAAAACCTTAATTGGCACAAAGTCTAAGTGTAAGCTGAGACTAAAAATCTATGACTCTGAGGTGATATAGTGTATTCCAACAAGCTTTTTCTGTTTGTCTAACTTCATTCTTCGGATGCATTTATGGTGTTACAGCAAGCTACTTGATGGGCTAGAAAAGTGAAACTCATCATTGTGTCAAAGTTCCATAAAATATAACAGGTGTGAACTCTTAATCTCTTTTCATCCGGACTACATAATCATCAGCCTTGCATTAATCCCTTTTTTCAATTCTTTTTTCCATTCATTTCCTCCCCTATATAACAGGAAAAAATTTATTCATAGAAAATGATATGGAGAAGAGAGAAAGATAAATTCATTTACGTAAGGAAAAATCAAAACATAACTTGATAGAGGTTTCTTAGCTCCCTTTAGGTCGGATCATTGGATGATGGAAGTCTTTGAAAAGAGCCTCTGATTACCAGGAAGACTCTTCCTTCTATAAGTTGAAGAAGTACAATAGGTCTAACAGTGAATAAAAGTCAGCTACAATATTCCTCCTACACCACAGGAACAAACAATTGTTTCTCCAATTCTTCTAAACAGATGGTATGTGCGAAATTGGACAAATTCATCTCATTGAAACGAAACACTTTTCCCCTTTCCCTTTGACTTTCCTTTTGCTCTTTCTTGGGTGGGTTGTGCAAAACCATCTTATAACCCCATTAAAGGAAACATTCTTCACCGCTCCACTCCATACGCACCTCCCCTCACATGTTAAGTCCAAACTGGCCAAACTGTCACTAGAACTGGCAATTGGGCTGGGCCGTGGGCGTGCTCATGAACTTGGATGAACCATCCAGGTAAAAGAGGCCGAAGTGCACCAGGTAAAAGTACATATATATAGGTATAATAATAAATTTAAATAGCTACTTTTATAGTCGGTTTGATTCGATTTTTTTCGGTTATTTTTTTATTAAAACCAAAACCAAACCAAATTTGATCGGTTTTTAAAATTCAAAACCAAAACCAAACCAAACCTAAAAAGTATCGGTTTTTTTTATCGGTTTGGTTTGGTTTTCGGTTTGGTTCGATTTTTCGGATTTTTATGAACACCCCTAGCTGGGCGTGCTCATGAACTTGGATGAACCATCCAGGTAAAAGAGGCCGAAGTGCACCAGGAGCCATTTTTAGGTTTCTGTTTAAAAGATATCCAATATTACAAAGTATTTAAAACATAGCCACAACTGATTTGAGGCTTAGAGACCGTTTTTTCTAAGTAGCAGAACCCAGCAAGGCCTGTTGCTCGAGTAACACCAACTTGTGAACTGCCTTGATGAATTTGAACTCTAGGGAAGTTAGCAACAGAAGGCTGAGTAGATGATTGGGTTAGAAAGCTTTGAGACTAGCTCATGGTATAGGGTGTTCTCAAATTTGGAGTTTGACAGTCTACAACCTCTTGAGATGATTGAAGAGGAGCAAGCAAACTCTAAAACACAAAAAATGAGAAGCCATAGACAAACATACCGGATATACACATACTCAGAGACGCTGAAAGCTGGAGATATTATAAGCAGCCTCAAAAGGAGAAAATCTGTGATATTCAGGACACTTTTTCGAACTCCGGGATAGTGTTCGGAAGACTATCCTGGAGTTTGAGCTGTGGAATTCCAACTTCAGGACGTTGTCCTGAGTTTGAATTGTGGATTTCGAACTTCAGAACACGGTATCCTGAAGTTTGAATCTTGATTGAAAAATTGTTCTGAAGTTAAAAAACTTGTTTTGAGATTAAGTTTTAACCTAAATGTTTTGGATCTTTGTATGGGATATAAGTTCGATCAGTTAGCATTTTTTTAGGTACGATAAGTTGAAGCATTAACAAGAATAAATACAATAGTCATTGTTGTATTCTATTCTTCAGCTACTTCTACATCATGCTGTAGTATTCTTACCGTCTTTCCAAAGCAATTAGCAATAGTAGGTGGCTATGCATAATACACGTTAGTTATTGGAGGTTTGAATTGGAGTTGTTGTTACTCAAATGAGTTAAGTTTGAGCAAGTCTATCCGCTATTTTAAATTGTGGCTACTTTTAAATGCACTGCAAAGGCTGGCTATGATTTAAACAGCTCTCAAAGTGGCTTTCTCTCCAATTAAACGGAAAGATAAATAGCCACTTTTAACCTCCGCTATTAGAGTTTAGCCAGTATTTAAGAAGCTATTAGGATTTAGCCACTCCTTTCACACGGAAAAAGTATTGGACAAAGACACCTCCAACTAAAATACGGAACTAACTCCAGCAATCGGTTCTGGAGTTTAAAGATATTACAAGTGGAACCCCAATACGCTATATTGGAGTTCAAAAGTCTTCTACCTGCAAAAATTCAGCACTGTATTCTGGAGTTTGAAATGTGCAATTAAAAATCCAAGAATAATTCATGAGATTTGAACCTTTATTGATTCAACTCTAGGAATTATTTCCTGGAGTTTGAGTTCACTGCTCCTTGACCTTTTCCTAATGAAAACACTTTTCAGATCATCGTCTTCAAAATAGAAAGACCCGCTTAAAATCTAAACCCCAGGCTTTGTTCTTGAATTTTTAAAATTCTCTAAGGTGAACAAGTATATATTCGAGGAAGAATGGTTTGGATTCGCTGAAATGTATTTGGATGTGCTCATAGTGGTTATGGAGAAGATTTAGGATTCAGTTTCATTTTCTAGTATTTTAAAATTTCGACCTCAGTGCTTTCTTCCTAAATCTTAAGCTTTTTAATTCAGAAATCGATAGTCACTCTCACCAGAAACACTAAGCACTCAGAGTTGAAAGCTCCGCTGCTCCAGACATTGGTTCTGGCCACAATAGTTGCAGCACCAGATCAAACGACAGTGCTAATAAGTACAACTTCACCGCTCCTGCTAAGCTTCCGATCTCTAGGTCCACCTATATCACTATCACTCTCGGTCTCGAATGTTTTTTTATCATTCTTTAAGTAAACTCAAACTCCAGGAATCATTGTTGGAGTTTGAACTGAAAAAGATCAAAAAGTCCAGTCATTGTTCCTGATGTTCCAATAGCACAATTCAAACTCCATAAATTATTCCTGGAGTTGAACTGATAAATGTTCAAACTCTAGTAGTTGTTCCTGGAGTTTTTCCATGTTCCAGCGTAGAATATTTTTGTCCAGATTTTATTTTCACATTAAAAAGTGGCTACTTTGCAAATACAATATAAAAACTGACAACTCTAATAGCCGCCCCAAAAAGTAACCATCCCAGCTAATTTTTGCCCCAGATTATGTAGTCGAGCCTTGTCCAGTCTGGACCCAAATACCATAACTATGTCGGTTCCAAGGTTTTCTAGCACAAGCCTGACTGGAGTCGGAAAAAATAATAATAATAATAATAATAATAATAACTGGTCAGACTAGCCGTTTATGCAGGTCAAAATTGTTATTCGACCGTTTGTGGACCACTTTTCTCAACATTTTTATAGAACTATATCCTTTTTGCCCCAGATTATGTAGTCGAACGAGAAGTTTTATTTTGTGTCTCATACAACTAACAATAGTTGTATGAGGCTCCTTTTTGTCTCATAAATTTGTGGACCTCAATCTTACACTTTTGGGTCCACAGAAATCGGGGTCCACAAAACTGTGAGACAAAAAGGTTGTCTCATACAACTAGTGTAAGTTGTATGAGACACAAAATAAAATTTTCCGTAGTCGAACCTTGTCCAGTCTGGACCCAAATACCATAACTATGTCGGTTCCAAGTTTTTCTGGCACAAGCCCGACTGAAATCGGAAAAAATAATAATAATAACTGGTCAGACTAGCCGTTTATGCAGGTCAAAATTGTTATTCGACCGTTTGTGGACCACTTTTCTCAACATTTTTATAGAACTATATCTCCCCCCCATCTCCCCCCCAAACAAAGAAAAACTCCTTTTTCCTCACTTTCAAAGTTCATTCTTCTAATCTCAATCCAAATTTATCAATTCTCAAGCTTCAAGTTTCAATATATAAGCTCTCAACCAATGATTTGGAATTTGAAATTTGCGATTCAACTTTCAATTTAAACCAGCTCAATTTAGGTTAATTTCGACAATTTGGTACGTCCATTTCCATTCTTTCTAATTAATTATATTTTTTATATTTAAATAGTTATTAGTTCAATTTGAACTTTTTACGGCATCTTCTTTATCGTCATTCAATGTCATCTATAAACATAAGTAGTTTAAGAAGGATGTTGTCAGAAATACCACACTATGTATCAACTGAGATTACGTGAATATTAGCCATTCTAATAAATTATGTATCATTAACCTTTTATATTATTCGTAAGTGAAACAAGACTTGAAAAATTAAGAAGAATTTTAGCTTATCAGCCAATTGAATACGAACATACAGTTTCACAAATTGCTAAAATTATTTAAGGGTTGCTGATAAATTCATAATTAACAATAACATAATGTCTATTTGTTTTCATTTGACTTATTGAGAGGCATGTTTTTCCTAAGTTCCAACATTGTTTTAAATTAGATTTGCATTTCATATATAAAATTTAATTGTTAATGATTGCCTTTATTTATTTAGGTAGAAACTGAAAAATAAGTACTACTAACCTTATGATGTTTGTTAAAGCCTAGAAAATATGAATATAAAAGAATGTGTCAAGCACATAGACTTGAACCAAAACAATTAAGGGCGATTGGTTGGAGGGATTGGAAATAGTCCAAGCATAAAATCTCCCAGAAAATAATACTATGTTGGTCGGAGAGATTAGGAAAAATAAATACTACATACTTATGCGAGATTTGGTTGGCCATATAAGAAAAAATAATTATTGCAGCTTTTGATTGACAGTATTAAATAATACCCGCATTAAGTTATGTGAGAATTTATGTATAGTTTTATAGATTAATTTGGAACATGAATGTGCGTTAGCATTTTTAATGCGTATTAATGTATCTAAAGAGAATAATACTCTTAAAGTAGGTAATCTCTACATCACATTTTTGTATTATTGTTCACCAATCACCGCATGAAAATTCCTATATTAATAATCACCATATTACAATTCCTTCATTATTATTCATTGCACGGACAATCCTTGCATTTTATTCTTTGCATAACCAGCATGTGAACCAAACCAAGCATAGAATTAGCTATTCCAATAATTGGGAATATGTTTTATGCAATGTTAGTCGCGCATATGTATTAAAAAATCCCCTAATTAAAATATATAGTCCATATCTAGCAGGGTCGAGTGATGAAATAACTAATATGGGGAAGATTGTGAAAGAATTATTTATCTTCTGAGAAAGTTTGTTTCAGCAATTGAATTCTTGTATGGTTATTACTAAGTACTAACTAATAGCGGTACTGTTTTAACTTCAACTAGTGAAATTTTAACAGTATTTTTTGAATATAAAGAAATCTTATATTGCAAAATTCAAAGAAGAGATTAACTATTAGCATTACCATTTGCAATATCAAATAATATTTCCTTGAAATATGCCACCTAATTCATCTAATTGGTCCGTTGTGAACCAGTTAGAACTTGTTTCACCCACCAAAAGAGTAGATGCTATATATTCCAGTGTAAATCACAGCGTTCTGATCTTATATAGCATCAATTACAAACGCGACTGACAATCTGATCTAACAAGGTGAAAGTAAATGCACAACCACAAATTTGTTAGTATAAGAAAACTGTGATTTACAACCGTTGACTTTATTTCAAAAGGACAATGAAATAGCATAAATTTTAATGCCACTTTTTTCCACAATTAATGCCAAACAGTCTCATTTATCTTCCATCCAAAAATCACAATCGCAAAGGAAGAAAAAAAAAAACGCACACAGTAACTAAAATCAGTTTATTCTCTTCCAAACATTTCTGTCGCACTTGATTTCGTGCAAATAAAACTTGAAAATACGACGTACCTCTTGTTCTGGTAACACAAGCACTGAGAAAAGTGAGATCCGATGAGTAATTGAAGGCATGATCCCACTCTTCATCTCTGCAACACATCGTATATTAGAACTAAACTACATATCCGAAAACATAAGGAATCAACTAGACCGAATATTTGCCTTTTTAACTATAAATTACTTCACTTTCCCTTTCGTCTCTTCGTGATCAACTCCCCACACACACATTCACATAAATTAAGCAAAATATTTACCGATTTAGAATGCAGAATTTGAATTTATCCGCAAATTCGTTGTCGAAAAGGTTGTGCGTCTGATTGTATATACGGTTATATACAGTTCGAGTAACTAAATCAACTACCGCGGGATTATCGAGTTGTGAGGCGGTGCCGGCACCGTTATCGATAGGTTGACTCCGAACTGAGCTCAACTGCACCAAGTTCACAAGCACGATAATGACGGACAGCTGGAATGTAGACGACGGCGACTTTCGCCGCCGCCGGTGAGTCGCCGCGGTAGCAGCGCCCATTTAGGAAATTTAGGAAATCAGAAAGGGAGAGAAGCGTTTTAGCCAGCTTTTTGCTGGTATATAAGAAAGGAAAATGGTGAGAAGACATGGCGCGGGTGAATGATTAAAAAAATTGAATAGGCGGAGAATAGTGGGTCCCATCTTCTGCAATACGAAGAAGACCACGTCTTGGTCTTAACCGTAGCCGGCTGGCTCTCCATTTGCCAGCTTGTTTCAACATTTTCACGGTTTGGCTAAACCGGTGGCGGATTGAATATCTTTATGTATATATTTCTGTTTTTAACTTTTTGTTTTGGCTCAGTTAGGAGGCAGAGGAATAGGCCGGCCAAGTAAAACTCGAAGTATCTTGCACGTTTAATAGATCAGGGTTTTACAAGTGTTTGAATCTTTATATTGAAATCTTAATAACAATTAACCTGCATGCCTGCGTCCTTTTAGGGACATTGATAAAAGGAATGATATGGAGAAGAAGTGCCTTAAGAAAATTATCTAAATTTTACTGCCTTTATAGTCTATTGGTATTTATTAAGACCTCGTTTGGTCATAGATTTTGGCTTTATTTTTTTAAAAAGAAAACTGAAAACATTATTTGTTTCTGAAATATGGTCATGTTTTGAGAAAAAAAATTCAAAAATTTCCAAGTTACCAAAAACTGGTTTAGGGCAACTTTTGGGTATAAAATTTTTCTTCCACTAACAAAACTTCAATTTTTCTTCAAATAAAATGCATGTCCAAACACAACTTCAACTTTTAAAAATTCTTTTTTCAAGTTTCATGTTCAAACGTGTATAGGGTCAAATTCTGGCCATTACGTCTCCATGTTGGTAGGAACGACCAACGAATATACGCTAACCGAAGTGAGGGCACGACCTAAGAATGTCGGCGTGAAGTGTATCATCGGTTCTGTCGTCTCTCTCGAAGGAACGCGACCAATCTCTGTATTACTTTATTATTTTAAGGAGGGTCTCCTATTATATAAAGGAAGACCCCCATGTTGTAAAGGAAGAAGTTTATTTTATTGAACAAGCTCTCTCTCTCTCTCTCTCTCTCTCTCTCTCTCTCTCTTGAATATCCAATCTATTGGAAGCTATAACAAATATAATACACATATCTAGGTCTTATTATCTTCGATTACGATTGATCCTTGATTCACTTTGATTGTTCTCACTTATAAGGTATATAGTATCTTTTGAGTCAAACAATTTGGCGTCGTCTGTGGGGATTTCGGCAATCGAAATCATAGTTTGCGCCTAGAATATCAAAAAAAAAAATAACGAACCACCGTTCTTCACACCATACAGAAGCCAAAAATGGCAGAAAATGACGCAAGAATGAAAGCAATAGCAGACGTCACAACCAATCTCATAGGCCCTCTTAACGAGGCCGGTAGAGAGAACGTCCTGAGTACAACACCTGGTAGTGCGCCGGATGGAGAGATCTCACCCTCTTCATCTGAAGACCTGACAATCTTGCATGAAAAAGGAGCCTCTACATCCGCAGTCAAAGAAACACCACCTCCGAGGGTCAAGAAACTGTTGGAAGAGTGGTTGATGAACACTCTAGGTAGCTTGCTTGAAAACTCACCCCAAAGCAACATTAGAAATCCGTCAGTGGCAGACATCGCCGCTACCACCAGTGAACCCGATATTGTACCAGCAGATAACACCCACATCGATGTCCAGGCCAACGACGGTGCACTCGCATCCATCCTTAAGAAGATGGAAGAAATGGAAAATGAGAACAAGGCACTTCGAGATCAAATGAAAGAGCACCAAGAAAGAGTGGACAAAATTTCCGGTGCTCCGAAGTTATTGCCAAAACGCGACGTAGGAAGATTCGTCGAACAGCCGTACAGCGAGGAGGTTGCCCCTCACCCGATCCCGAAAATCTTTAAGATGCCACCTTACTTGAGGATATATAACGGGACCACGGATCCCGAAGACCACCTGATCCATTATGTGACCGCTGTGAAGGGTAACGATTTGTCAAAAGAACAAGTACCATCCGTGTTGCTAAAAAAGTTCGGAGAAACGTTGACAGGGGGGCCCTAACTTGGTACTCTCATCTACCAGCAAGGACGATATCAACATTCGAAGAAATGGCGGACAAGTTCGCCACCGCCCATGCAGGAGCAAAGAAAGTAGAGGCCAAGGTCAACGATATCTTCGCAGTTAGGCAAATCGTAGGAGAGGGACTCAGGGACATCCTGGCCAGATTCAACAGAGTAAGGATGAGCCTACCAAATGTATCGGAAGGTATGGCAGTCGCAGCTTTCCAAAATGGGATGAACAGAGATGGTTCGAGGGCGACCAAAAAGCTACTGAGCCGACTCATGAAATATCCCCCCACCACATGGGAAGAGATCCACAACGCCTACTGTGCCGAAGTACGAGCGGATGAGGACGACCTCAACGGACCGACCCAACGGCTAACGGCGATACAATCAGAAACAAGAAGGGATCGACGTAACGACGGGCGACGGGAACAACTCCTGCGCTTCAACAAAGAAAGGCATCAGCCCTACGTTAGGTCTTCCCATCCACCGCCGCCGAGACACACGGAGGCATTGCAACGACATGTCGCTCCACTCCGGAATGAAAAAGGTATGCCCCCTCTATTATCTGCCCATAACTTTTGCGTGTCTCCTTCAGAAATAGTGTACGCACGGGAGAAGCTGGGCACCAAGGTGCAATGGCCGCAGAAAATGAAATCAGATCCTACCGCAAGGAGGTCGAACGCCCTGTGCGAGTTCCATCAGGAAAGGGGACACAAAATCGAAGATTGCATAGGTCTACGACAAGAGGTAGTCAGGATGCTAAACCAAGGATACCTGAGGGAGCTGCTTAGCGATAAGGGGAAAACCAACTTCGCACGAGGGCGGAACCCCAGGGGCCGCCAAAGCTGCCTTCGCCAACACGGACCATAAACATGATCGTCGGAGGCGGCGATGATTCAGCAATCAACCACGTAAAGTTCACAACCACGCACAAATTGAAACGAACAATCGCCCACGAACGGTATGACGACTTCGAAGAAAGTATCACCTTCGATAAGTCCGATGCCGACGGTTTGTCTTTTCCTCATTATGATGCTTTGGTCATAACTTTATGTATTGCCGATACTGATGTTAAGAGAATCATGGTTGACGACGGAAGCGGCGCATGTATTATCCATCCAAGGTTCCTCGTGCAAATGAAACTCGAAGATAAGATAATACCGTGTTGCATAACACTAACAGGTTTTAACAATGCAGTAGAACGGACCTCCGGGGAGATATCGTTGCCGGTTTTAGCGGGGGGAGTCACGCTGGAAACCACTTTCCACGTCATGAACCAGGAGACGGCCTACAACGCCATCATAGGACGCCCTTGGATACATTCCATGCGAGCAGTCCCTTCAAGCTTCTACCAAGTGATCAAGTTTCCTACCCCATGGGGAGTGTCTAGCATTCGGGGCGAGCCGTGCACCGCACAAGAATGCTACCGAATCGCTCAAGACTGTACCCACACCAAACAGTTGAAAGGAGCAAGTGCGGAGGCATAGCAATCAGCCATGTCGGGGACTAAGGTCGACTCGACGATGGAAGCCATCAAAGATCCTGACGTCGTAGAAGCCTGTAAAGCGACGGTCGAAGATCTCGACCCAGTCCAATTGGAGAGCACCGACCACACAAAGAGAGCCTACATTGGGCACAGCCTCTGCGATCCAAGTAAGTACCATGAATTTCCAACTAACCACGCAGATTTATTTGCCTTTTCTCATTCAAATATGCCGAGAATCCCGAAAGACATCGCCGCTCACAAGCTGAACGTCGACCCACTATATCCGCCCGTGCGGCAAATTAGAAGGAAGTTCAACGCCGCAATCAACGAGGCGGTCAGTGAAGAAGTAGACAAGCTACTAGCCAACGGGTCCGTCAGAGAATCAAAGTACCCCCAATGGTTCGCCAATGTTGTCATGGTCAAAAAGAAAAATGGGAAATGGAGAATGTGTGTGGATTTCACCGACCTTAACAAGGCATGCCCAAAAGATTCGTTCCCATTACCCCACATCAATCAGTTGATCGACGCTACGGCAGGACATGAACTGCTAAGCTTCTTAGATGCCTACTCCGGCTACAACTAGATCATGATGGCCGAGGAGGACCAAGAAAAGACAACTTTTATCACCCACCAAGGGACGTATTGCTACAAGGTGATGCCCTTCGGACTCAAAAACGCAGGGGCAACATATCAGAGACTGGTTACCAAAATGTTCAGTCAGCAAAGAAAGAAGACCACATCGACCATCTGAAAGAAGCCTTCGAGATACTAAGACGATACGGGATGAAGTTGAACCAGGAAAAGTGCGCCTTCGGCGTGGCCTCGGGGAAGTTTTTGGGTTTCCTCGTATCACAACGAGGTATCGAGGTCAACCCGGACCAAATCAAGGCAATAGACGCAATACCTGAAACTTTGAGCAGCAAAAAGCAGGTACAAAAGCTGACAGGACGCATAGCCGCCCTATCCAGATTCATCTCGCGATCCTCCGACAGGTGTCATAAGTTTTTCAACGTGTTGAGAAAAGATCACGGGCTGCAGTGGAACGAGGAATGCGTCGAGGCCTTGAGAAAATTAAAAGCATACTTATCTTCGCCACCGTTGCTAGTCAAAGCGAACCCAGGCGAATTTTTGCTGGTATATCTGGAGGTGTCAGAAGTCGCTGTCAGCGCAGTCTTGGTTCGCGAAAATAAAGGTACGCAGTCTCCTATTTATTATATAAGCAAAACCCTAGTGGATGCCGAAACACGATACCCACACCTCGAGAAGTTGGCCCTGGCACTAGTCGTAGCTTCACGAAAGCTTAGACCCTATTTTCAGTGCCACCCCATAAAAGTAATAGCGACCTTCCCTCTGAGAAGCATCCTGCACAAGCCTGAGCTGTCGGGCAGGCTCACCCGATGGGCCATAGAGCTCAGCGAGCACGACATATCCTATCACCCAAGAAACGCCATCAAGTCGCAGGTACTTGCCGACTTTGTCGCCGACTTCAGTACAGAGATATTGCCGGAGGCGGAACTGGAGGCCATTCGTTCCTCCCCTAGTACCGACCTT